CGTCCTCACTGGGCTAGGCTGTCGCCTCTGCAGGACCGTCTTTTGTCACGAATAAACGTGTCTTTCTTCTTGAACAAATTGGAAAAGTAAGGTTGAGTGCTCCTGAGAATGCCGGGGGGGGGGCGTATTAGGGAGCATGCAGTAGCGAACATGGTGTGTGGGCTCCAGGCTGCAGAGTGGTAAGAGGGACAGCCCCAGACCTCCAGGGCAGAGAAGGCTTTGTACAACCAGGAGTCCCTGTAGAGGGAAGCCCAGATCCCCAAAGCAGGCAGCATGGGACCTTGGGACCATGGGACCTTGAATGTGGAGCTGACTGCTTGGCCTTGGGCTTTCTTCCTGCTGTGGGCCCTGTACCCCTCCATCCCTTCATCCCTCCCACCTGGCTTCTCGCATGCAAGCCAAGCTGTTCTGGATCTGGCCTAATGGAGCTTAGCTAACTGTGCAGATTGCTCTGGGGGCTGGCAGGCGGGGCTAGGGCAGCTCAGCTAATCCTCTGATCTTATGTACTGCCCAGCAGGGAGCTCTGCCTGGGATCCTGAGGCCTTGTCCTGCTTAGAGGCCAGTTTGGCCATAGAGGCCAGGCATCAGCCACACCTGGAGATTCCTGACCTTCACCCCAGCTAGTGTGACCACACTTTCCATTGGTGTGAGAATATGGGACTCTGGGATCTTGATCACATTACTGGGTCAGGTACCCCAGTACCCCTGTCCTGCCCTTCTGTGGTTGTATCCTGTCCCCCTGCAGACTGACCCTTGTGGTGGGTGATATACAGGAACCTTGCACAGGAACTGAGTCTGTGTCAGGAAGATTGAGGCCCTGCTAGTGCTGTACCAAACAAAGGGTCTACGTAAATCAAAGTGTTGCAACAGATGGGGAAACTGAGGCCCAGAGGTGTGGGGCAGGTGTAGTAGAGTCAGGGCAGGTTCTCTTGTCCCCAACTCCAGTCCGGACTGACTCATTGAGGTGGGGTGAGGGAGTCCCACTCCAGGGACTAAGCCATCAGGCCTGTGCCAACCTGTGTGTTAATACTGAGGTCTGGGGCTTCAGGACCACGTTGGGCCATACCATCCTGTATTACATGATTCCCCCCTAAGGGGCCATAGAGCATCTGGGACTCTAGCCCATGGGGAGCTGACAAACTGTTAGCCATGCAAACAGCAGGAGATCCTTGCCTGCCAGGCCTTGGTGAGGTCACAGAAGTGACAGTGGCCACTCCACACCCAGCAGGGCTTAGGGTTAGGTGTGGCCTTAACTCCCTGCACACACAGCTAGCGTCTTGCAGTTTCCTTACCTATTCTGGAATAAAGGATCATTGCAGTCATCACCTTTCTCATTATAAGGTCATATTTAGCGTGTCTTCCTCCTGGGTCCCTCTGAGTGGGGAGGGGAAGATCATGAAGTGTTTGTAGGAGAGATGTTCCACTCCAGTGAGGGCAGCAGGGGGTCTTCCTGTGCTTGTGTTCCTTCCCCATCCAGCTGGCCCAGCCCCATTCTCATCCTGAATGGGCCCCAGGTGGGACAGCTGCTTCAGCACCATGGACAGCGACCACCACCCGTGCCTTCCATCCCGTGTCCTCGTCATCCTAGTTCACATGGGGCTGTGTTTGGCGGTTTTATTTGGGGTATATTGGAGCCAGAACCCCTGGAGAGCACACATCTATGGCCTGAGGACCCCTCTATGGGTTTTGTCATGGGCCAGATTGGTTGACCATACAGGCGGAAAAGGGGAGGAGGCCTTGCTATGGGGTGGACTGTGTTTCCAAATCCCCTAGGGAAGCTACATCCACAGCAGGAAACCAGAAGGGGCCTAGAAAAGGCCTCTTTCCATGTTCTGAAGTCCCTATGGCAGGACCTTCCATTTGCTGGATGCTAGCTGGAGTCCTGGCCCCATATTGTTGTGCAGAGTAGGAAGGCAGCTGAGTCCCTCCAAAATGCATAGGCTGTGATAGATGGTCAGAGGAACAATGGGGCCATGAGGAGCTTGGAGTGGGGGCCAACAGGATGGGTACTAGATTTGAGGATCCCCCATTCATAGGTCCCAGCTATTCAGGAGGTCTCCTGAGACCCCTTGGTCAGCCTCTCTCTTAGCCTGTTTCCTAATTCTTTGCTGCTTGCCAACCTTCAGAGCTGGATGGATCCTTAACATTTAAGAGAACCTCTGGGAAGGACCAGCATAGCCCATCTGGCTGAACCCAGGCCCACATCCCCATGTGGCCATATCCACTGATTGTTCCACCCTCAGTGGCCAGGTCCTGGGCTGTACCAGTACCACCTCCTGTCCACATATCCTGGTTTGCTCTGACACCCCCCCCACCCCCTGTGGACATTGACTGTAATTTATAAAAGTTGGTTCAAAGCCTACAGGAATTTTAATTAAACCCAGAAAATCTATCGGTTGTAATTAAGCCTCCAGAAGTCATCCAGCGCCACATGATGTGATCCATTGGCACTGCCTGTCCTTAGCTGCCCACAGATACATGAGGTATGTCCTTGCTGTTGTAGGAGACTTAAAAGATTCTCTCCCACCAGGTGTGGTGGCACACGCCTTAAATCCCAGCACTTGGGAGGCAGAGGCAGGCAGATCTTTGTGAGTTTAAGGCCAGCCTGGTCTACATAGTGAGTTCCAGGATAGCTGGGGCTACAAGGAGACCCTGTCTCAAAAAGACAGAAAAAAAATTCTCTCCTTAGGCAAGACCCAGGCCTGTACCTGGCACAGACCACACCTTAACTTTGAATACTATCTAGTCCCCTAGTAAATTGGGGGCCCAGGCAAGCCCCTTGCACTCCCCTGCACTCTCAAGATGCCCATGTCTTCCACTTCTACTGACCTGGAGCTTGGACTCAGGGTCTGGACCAGGGACCAGAGGTAGTAGTTCCTCAGTCAGGAATGCCACATAAGGCTTGTTTATAAGTCTTAACAGTAGCTATGTGAGAGCATAACAGCTGGAGGCCCGAAGGTACACAGTAGACTTGGCTCTAAGGGTTCTAGGGAAACACCAGGCAAACCAGCAGGAGAGTACACCGCTCTTTGGCCTTTCTGAGGGAATCTGAGAGTGGATGAACATGGACCCAGCCCAGGGGAAACAAGTCAATAGACAAAGAAATCAAGAGGCAGTCTTCAGTTTTGGGCAGGCTTCTAGTCCTGGGTCCTAGAGTCTGAGTCAGTAGGGATAGCCAAGGTGAGCTAGAAAGCCTTCCTACACCAATACAGTGTCTGCTGGGAAGGGGATGGGGCAGAGAGGGCAGAGTAGCAGGGTCCAGTACCACCAAGGAAGGGACAGTCTTCCCATCCCCTTTTGGTGGTAGGCAGGGTATGACACTAGGTAGGCTCAGGGACCAGTCCAGCGTGGGAACAACTGTCTTAGTCTGGACCATACACCCCACTGGCCTATCTGACAAAGGGCTTCTCTACCCCCAGCTTTGTGCTCCCCAAGCCTGCTTTGTTTAACCCAGAGCAGTACCTCCTCCACTTTGGAAATTACAGTCTACCACTGACCCGCATGAGGACACACACATCTACTGTCCCTCCACCAGAGATGCTAACTGTAGCAGTTTAGAGCCCTGGAAGAAGGCAGAGCAGCTTCCTGGGCCTAGAGGTTAAAGTGTCTTGGGACATGGTGAGACCAGGCTAGACTTATCACCTCTTGTCTGTTCAGAGTGGTGTCGCGAATGAACTTTGCAGAGCTGGGCACTAGTGGGTGTGTGAGGTGTGCAGGATCCACTTGAAGCCATAGTCTCCTATCCTGGCTGGGTGTGAACAGATACAGGGGTGGAGACTCTACAGTCTTGTGGCCCAGGAGCACTATGCTGCCTGTCAGAGGCAGGCTGGAGCTGTACTAGCAGGAGGCTGATTTCTGTTTTCCGCAGCCCCATTATAGCAGAGATGCTTGTTACTGCTGAACCCATTAAGTGTAATTATGACACTCTCAGTAGGAGCATATAATTACATTTGGTGGCTCAGAGCCATGGTGCATGGTGCTTCTGTGGGCTGGGGGCCTTGGGAAAGAGAGGGGTCAGGGTCAGGACGGTAAGGTGGACATTCACAAGGGTGGTCCAACCCTTCCCTGCCCTGTTCCAGGGCAGGCCCTGTGGGCAGGGGGCAACATAGCCCTCTCCCTTGTAAGGAGTCTTCCGGGTTCATCCTGTCCTGTCCCTGTCCCTTTCCAACAGGCTGCTCTGGCTTGTGCCATTTCTGTGGATTGTGGCCACAACCCTTGGCAGGCCACACCAACCCCAGCCTATGTCTCCACACTGTGGACTGATAGCTCTGCTGTTTGGGTTGTGCTGGGTAGGCTTCTGTGCTACTGTCTTCATGGGTACTTCATTGAGCAGACAACCCAGCCAGGCTTAGAAGCAAGTGACCCACTCAAGGTCACCTATCAGGAGATGAGAACCCAGAGCCTGACCCTGCTGATAATGGACACTCCACACTCCATACCCATCATTCTTTCTTGGTAACCCTCAGTTTGGGACAAGAAGAAGTTACATATGGAAAGCCACCCTAGTACTGGACAGGCCAGCAAGTAGTATGTGTCAGGGTGGGATAAGGATTTCTGGTATGAGAATACCAGGAGGGATACCTCTGCCTAATGTAGTTCCCAGCCTCTGTGTCCTCCCATCTGCACTCAAGCACACTGTGGCTAGGACCTTTGCTTATAGCCATTGTATAGCTTGACCCCCCACTAAGGCTGCCGGGCTCCTAGTGTGTCTGAGATGTCCCCACTTGGGCTTCATATGTGATACCATTGGTTCACTACAGCGTTTCCAGGGCCATCTGGAGTATGTGAGGACGGCCCCAGGGGCAGCAGCTACCTTCCTTGGAGAACTCCAGACTCTGGAGAGCCTGTATAGGGGCCAGCATGGTGCCACAGCATCACCTAGTGGTCTCATTATGAATTGCCAGGCATTTTGTCTCCAGCACCACTGACCAGGTGGGAGAGGGAGGCCTTGGGAGGTGGCAAAGTGGGGTTGTCCGTTGCACATGGCCCTTAACACACAGCGTGCAGGTGGTTTGAGCACGTCAGTATGCTGGTCATCATGCTGAACTGTGTGACACTCGGCATGTTCCGGCCCTGTGAGGACGTAGAGTGCCGTTCAGAGCGCTGCAGCATCCTGGAGGTGGGCAGTACAGACCGTGAAGAGGACAGGGAGGGCTCCAGGGACACCCTGATACCAAGTTCCGACCCCCCTTTCCCTCCAGGCCTTTGACGACTTCATCTTCGCCTTCTTCGCGGTGGAGATGGTTATCAAGATGGTGGCTCTGGGGCTGTTTGGGCAGAAGTGCTACCTGGGTGACACCTGGAACAGGCTGGACTTCTTCATTGTCATGGCTGGGTATGCATCCTCAGCTTGCTGTGCTTGAGAGTCCTGGGACTGGTGGCAGGGCTACAACTCCTGGAAAGCTACTGGAAGATCAGGGTGGGGGAGAGAAGGGAGGCTGGGGTTGAGACAAGTAACTTTCAATGGGTGGGATGTACATGAAAGGCTTCTATAGGGCAGTGGATAATGATAATGGGAAACACGATAAACAGTGGCCTGTGAGTTATTCTCAGGGACCTTGGGTTACTATGATTTTGGTGGCCATGGCCTCCTCTAGGAGGAGCTAGGCTCCGTGGCACTTCCCCTTTCTGAGCATCCCTGCCTCTTAGCATGATGGAGTATTCTCTGGACGGACACAATGTGAGCCTCTCTGCCATCCGCACAGTGCGTGTGCTGCGCCCCCTCCGTGCCATCAACCGGGTACCCAGTAAGTGTCATGCCTACCCTAAGAGACCGGCCTGTATGTACTACTGGCCCTGCTGCTTACCAAATCCCCAGAGGACTTGATCTTTCTAGAGAGATCTGGGCTGGGTGTTTTGGGATTCCCAGTACTGATAGTCAGGGGCTACTGTGAATTTCAACTTCTTCATTTGCATAGCATCTGGGGTGAGGCTGGGGGCTGAGAAGGTCCCCAGTGGCATCAATAACTGTCTGTGAAGCCTAAGGCTGTGGAAGCATGTGTGAGTGACTGGGGTTTTCCTGGGGATTCTGCAGCCCACTGATGTTCCTCCCATACAAAGCATCTGAGCACAGGGGCTCTGGAGTGAAGAGGGACCCACTGTGCTCCAACTGCACATGGAGGGACGCTGGCAGGAAGTTAGATACATATTTGGGTTGTGATCTGTCTAGACACCAGCCATATGCCTACATCTAGGGACAGTTTGGGGGTTTCCTCAGTGGCTGGATTCAGATGTTCAGTTTTGAGGTAGGGGTACAACACCCTTGGAGCTGTGTAAGGTACACATACACATCCTTGAGCAAGTGTAGTTCAGGGACCCACAAGGTAATCATACCACCTTTCCAGTTGCCTAATATGGACCTTGTGCCTCAGCACCCAGCCTTCCACCTGCCTCCATGGCCCTAACTTCTAGGTTCAGAGAGGATTCAAATGCCTTGTGATTTGGGGCAAGTTACCAAACCTTTCTGAACCCATTTCCCACCATAACATGGAGTACAGTATATATTCCCCCAAGGACAGCACTGGATTTGATGTGAAGGGACAAATATGTAGCTCTGGAGGCTCTTCCTGGCACCCTCTGTATGCTCAGTCTACCCAGAAGAACCTGTGGCCCCTCCATCTTGGCCTACCTATTGGAGCAGAGATGCAGCCTAGCTCAGCTCCTGACCATGTCGTTTGCTATTCGGTAAAATGTCCAAGATAACTGTTGAAGACTTCCCAGACAGGACCATATCTCATAGCAGCTCCAGAACATCTTCAGGACAGCATTCTACTGTAGCCTGTCTTAGGTCTAGTCTGACCCCTGAATCACACGATCCTTGAGTTTGTTGCTGTCTGCCCTCTGTGAGACTCTTTATGTCCATTTGAGATGTTGATGACCCTCCCAGCTTTGACCCACTTGTAACCTGATGACCTTTCTGCTATGGCCACTCCTTTCTGGGCTCCTCGAGACCCTGACACCATTTCCTTCTCAGTCCTGTGGCCCAGTGTTCTGCCTGCAACCTAGGCTGGCCCTTGTATAGGTCTTAAACTTTGTTCTTCTGAGGTCTGAGAGGGGCAGGCCCAGAATGAGGTGAGAGACCCTTGGGCCTCTATTGACCCACTTCCTAAATTTGTTCAAGTTCATGTACCATCTGGGATAAAACTTCAAAACTGCTTCAGGACACAGCACTTGCCCCTGCCTTCCCTATAACAGAGTCCTAGACCTCTGCTCCAGCACCAGGAATAAAGAAGCCCCACTCCCATAGTGGAGCCCCCAGGCAGTCCAGAGCTCAGGGTCTCCAAGGCAACTGCACTGGTCCCCTGGTCATCTGAGGCGCTGGAGATGCTACATGGTAAGGTAGAGCAGGGATAGGCTTTCCCTGACTTTCTGGGCCTGCATCCTGGCTCCCTTCTAGGGGTCCAATAGGCCTTACCTGTCCCTGACCTCAGCATACAGGTAACCTTGATAAGAATTTGTGAGTGGTGGGCAGGGCTTACAGAGGGACTGGGCCCCCTAGGATTCTCTAGTTGAATTTGGCTGCGCTGAGTACCAGCCCTGCCTCCCACAGGCATGCGCATCCTGGTCACTCTGCTGCTAGACACACTGCCCATGCTCGGGAACGTCCTTCTACTCTGCTTCTTTGTCTTCTTCATCTTTGGTATTGTTGGTGTCCAGCTCTGGGCTGGCCTGCTGCGGAACCGCTGCTTCCTGGACAGCACCTTTGTCAGGTGTGTAGGCCCTGTCCCCTGATGTAAGACCCCACCCACCCTGCAGGACTTGCCCCAGAGTTGTACCTCTCTAGATGCTGCCCTTCAGGCTCCACCCTCAGGATAAGCCTCCTTCCATTCAGCAAGCCCCACCCCCAAAGCAGTCTTCCCTCTGAGACCCACTTCTTCAGGACCCCATGCTATGAAGTGCCAAGCTATACTCCATCCCTCAAAGTCCCCACTAGGTATGAAGCCTCTCCACCCAAGGGTTCACCTCTAGGCCTCCCCAATGGTGTTCCCTCCTTTGAATATCCATACTGTGAACCTGGGTCCTAGTTTGTGGTAAGGTCCTGGGGTGCCCATCCCTGCTCAGGACAGGCCGTGGAAGGTGCGATGTTAGAGTTTCTAGGGTGAAAAGGTAGTTCTGAGGAATAGATCAAGATGGAGGGGAAGGGACAGACTTGGAGCTGCAGGGATAGACTCTGGGGAGCCAGGGTAGAGTCTGCTTCTTCCCCAGGGCAGCTTGCTGTGTATGAGAATGTGAGGGGTCTACACTGGGAGTCTGCAGCCCCAGAGACCTGCCTGGGTGGGGTAACTGGGCTTACCTGTCTGTCAACTCCTTAGACAGTGTTCCCAGGCACCTGTGGCTGCTCCCCTTGCCTTTGCCCAGGAGACTCCACTCCTTTCTTAAGCCAGATGCCTTTGTGCCCACATGGCACTCCTTTCTTCAAGGGAAGGAGGTGCCCATCCCATATGTTCTGGGCTCAGTGTACCCCTACTTTTCATAGCCTCAGAAGATAGATGACCCAGGGCTGATGGCCTGTTACGGCTACTCTGGAATGTGACCATGGTGCTGCAAGGCACCCTGCCCCCCACCCCAGGCCCTGCTTATTACCTGGCTGCCTGTTCCCTCCAGCATTGGGTCAGATATTTGTGCACTGAACCTCTAGGGTGGCCATCCGTATGCCAAGGTATTTTTCCGCTCTTTGGGCCTTTGAGTTTCAGAACATCTGGGGCTTGGAGCTCTGAAGACACCCAGGCCCATGCCATCAGGTCCTGCTGGCTCAGGATGGAAAGTCAGGGTCAGCAGAGGGAGGATGTATAGGCAGGTCCAAAGACTTTGAGCTGCACTAATGATGATGCTGTGAGCTGGACACCACATTATATGCCTGGTGCCATAACCTGCATTGGTTCAGGGCCTAGGTGGTATATGTGTGGCATGGGGGGGTGTCATAGAGTAGTCACTGAGGCCATTTTCTGAGGGGCAGTGTGGCAGGCAAGGTTCAAGCTCTGCAGGCCTTGAGCAAAGGTGGATGGGTGGATGGGTGGATGGTGGATGGTGGATGGAAGAGTGTTGGCCCCTGGAATCCCTGACCCTATAGCACATGACTTTGTGTGACCCAGGAACAACAATCTGACCTTCCTGCGGCCATACTATCAGACGGAGGAAGGTGAGGAGAACCCCTTCATCTGTTCCTCACGCCGTGACAATGGCATGCAGAAGTGTTCCCACATCCCCAGCCGTCGTGAGCTACGAGTGCAGTGCACATTGGGCTGGGAGGCTTACGGGCAGCCACAGGCTGAGGATGGGGCCACTGGCCGCAATGCCTGCATCAACTGGAATCAGTATTACAATGTGTGCCGCTCGGGAGACTTCAACCCCCACAACGGTGCCATCAACTTTGACAACATTGGCTATGCCTGGATCGCCATCTTCCAGGTGGGTGCTGGGGCTAGTGGCCTGGGGATATCCAGTGGTGTGTGACAGTGATACCAGAGAAAGGCACCCACACTGGGGTGTGACACACACTGTTCCTGGGAGCTGGAGGGCATGAACCCATGTCTAGCCACCTGCCTCCCCAGGTCATAACGCTGGAGGGCTGGGTGGACATCATGTACTACGTCATGGATGCCCACTCGTTCTACAACTTTATCTACTTCATCCTCCTCATCATTGTGAGTGTGGGTGTGGCTGGCTTGGGGGGCAGGGGTGGGGGTATGTCCTGTCTCTACCTGTTGTTACTTGTCCTGAGTCTCCTGGAGTCCCTGAGCTCAGCAGTGCAGAGGCCACAGAGATGGTGGGACTGGCCTGGGCTGGATAGGTGAGCAGGGGGCTTCTCTGTCCTGCCTCCAGTAAAAGGAAGTGGATAGGATTGGAGGAAGGCCTATACAGCCCCCGGCCCAAGGTGATGCCCAGAAGCTGCAGAATTGTCAGTCTTAGGTCTCTACATTGTGTCTGGCCCTCTAGCACAGCAGCCCCACAGCAGATGTAGCTAAGCATGAATTCCTGGCACAGACCCTGTAGTGCACATGAGTCTCTGGTACAGTCTCTCACAGCATCTCTGGTCCCACATCTCTTAGGTCCATGACCTCTCCTCAAAAATTTTCCATAGAATCAATCACTCCCATATAGTACCCTACAACATGCATTCCCCCGTGACACAGCCTCACACAGCAAACATGTCCCAGATTTGGTTTCCTCTTGGCCCTCAGTGTCCCAGACAGACAATGTCAGTTCATCAAGCAGCAGATGTTCCCAGATCCCTGGGTGCATGGGAGCTGCCTTCAGGGACTCGCCAAGGAAAGGGACATCCTCCAGCTGTGTTCTCAGGCAGTCCACATGGCAGGTTTACAGAGTAGAGCCCAATAGTGGTCTGTGCCAGAGAGGGCTGGTCACGGGAACTGGGGAGGGGGGAGGCCACACAGCTGGGGAGGACAGCATGACCACAGTGGAGGGTCTTGTTGGAGTCAGGCCTAGGAGAAGGGGCAGGTCACCCAGGGTCCCCAAGGGAGGTCCCTGCCCCACTGTCACACACACAGTTATAAAACACATGCTGTGCGCCCACCCCTAGGGTATTACTGTTCTTGGCATTGTGGTTGGCCCCAGAGCAGGCCCTGGCAGGGCTGGGTGTGGAGTAGCCAATGGTCACATGCACCCTGCTACAGGTGGGCTCCTTCTTCATGATCAACCTATGCCTGGTGGTGATAGCCACACAGTTCTCAGAAACAAAGCAGAGGGAAAACCAGTTGATGCGTGAACAGCGGGCCCGCTACCTGTCCAATGACAGCACTTTGGCCAGCTTCTCAGAGCCTGGCAGCTGCTACGAGGAGCTGCTCAAGTATGTGGGCCACATCTTCCGAAAAGTCAAGCGTCGTAGCCTGCGTCTCTGTGCCCGCTGGCAGAGCCGCTGGCGCAAAAAGGTGGACCCCAGCAACACTCTGCATGGTCAGGGGCCTGGGCGGCGGCCAAGGCAGACAAGCAGGCATGCAGCCTCTGTGCACCATCTGGTCTACCATCACCACCACCACCACCACCATCACTACCACTTCAGCCATGGTGGCCCACGCAGGCCCAGCCCCGAGCCAGGTGCTGGTGACACCAGGCTGGTCCGGGCCTGTGCACCACCCTCGCCACCATCCCCAGGCCATGGGCCACCCGACTCTGAGTCTGTGCACAGTATTTACCATGCTGACTGCCATGTGGAAGGACCACAGGAAAGGGCCCGGGTGGCACACACTGCAGCTGCAGCTGCCAGCCTCAAACTGGCCTCAGGTTTGGGCACCATGAACTACCCCACCATCCTGCCTTCAGGAACAGTCAACAGCAAAGGTGGCACCAGCCCCCGACCCAAGGGGATACAGGGTGCTGGAACCTCAGGGCCTGCAGCACACAGCCCCCTGAGCCTGGGCGGCCCTAGCCCTTATGAGAAGATTCAACATGTGGTCGGGGAACAGGGTAAGAACCTGGCCTCCCTGTGTAGAAGTGGCAGGACCTGGGTAAGGCAAGGGTATATAGAGAGACTATAGGTCCATTCCTATGGCCTGGCCACATCCCTGGAAGACTTACGGAGTTCTTAGTGAACACGGGCTGCCCTGGGTGGGGAAACTGAGTCTGGGGCAGTACAGGAAGAGAAATGAAGTTTAGAATCTCTGCAGGTGTTAAGAGGTCATGGGGTCCTGGGAGCTGCTACAGTAGCCTAACCCCATCTGTGTCCTTCCACCTCAGGACTGGGCCGAACCCCCAGCCACCTGTCAGGCCTGAGTGTGCCTTGCCCCCTGCCCAGCCCCCAGGCGGGCACACTGACCTGTGAGCTGAAGAGCTGCCCATACTGTGCTAGAGCCTTGGAGGATCCTGAGTTTGAATTCAGTGGCTCAGAGAGTGGAGATTCAGATGTTCATGGGGTCTATGAGTTCACACAGGATGTGCGGCACGGGGACCGCAGAGACCCCATGCAGCCATCCACTGAGGCTGACACATCAGGCCAGGGCAGCGAGCGGCAGCGGCCACCTCGGCAAGCACCCTCAGGAGAGCAAGGTGGGCTGGGCCGCCTCTGGGCCTCCTTCAGTGGCAAGCTGCGTCGCATCGTGGACAGCAAGTACTTCAACCGCGGTATCATGGCAGCCATTCTGGTCAACACACTGAGCATGGGTGTTGAGTATCATGAGCAGGTGAGTTCTCTGCTCTGGGGTGAAGCTGGGCAGAGCTTACAGGATGATGAGTCCCACCCAATGCCACCAACAGAAAGCATGTCCCTGTGTCTTTTTAAAGTTTCTAGCCTTTTCCCATGGTCAGTGGGGCTTGGCACCAGAGCCAGAGAGCCAATAGCCAAGAGTTATGGCTCTTTGGACTGGGCTCTACCGAGTAGTGAACACAGAGATAACTTGACTCTAGGGTCTGGTCTGGTGGTTCTCCCACTCTGGGAGGGACAAGTGTCTTGAGATCACCAGAGACACCCCCCCCCACGAGTGAAGGGGTCCAGAAGCAAGGCACTATAAGGACCTTCACCCAGCTCATAAAGTAAGCTCTTCCCAGGATTCCTTGGGAGGGGCATTCTCCAAACTGCCCAGATTCCTTGGCCATGCCCTCAGGGACCTGGGAAGCCAGAAGTGATCTGTATTGTGGTTTGGTCCTGTGAGAACCCTGGGGCCAGAAGGACTATTAAGAGGTTTGTGGAAGTCCTTACCTGCCTAGATGGTGCAGACATTTCTCCCTCCACAGCCCCAGGGATAATAAGGCTGACCCCAGCAGAGCAGGCACTCTTGGGAACCAGGCAACTCCTGGAGTACAACACACTTTTAGTGAATGGTGTAATTTCCTGTGGGCTTTTGCTTCTAGACCTTTTTAACTGCTTTTTCTTATTTTGAAGTAACTTGGGGAAAATCCACCCACTGTGGATCCACCTCAGGCAGGTTTGGACAGGATTGTGCTAGGTTGAAGACAGGGCAGTTGTATCTTGAAGAGCCTGTGTGCATGTGTATACATACACAAATGCCTCACACACAGGCAAGGTTCTTTTATGTACATAAGTGTGCATGGATGCACACTGCACATTTGGCTCACTTATTTGCATGGAAATCAGTGCATGCACATGTGCAAAGCTCACTTATGTGCATGGAGAACGGTGCCCATGTATTAACTGTATTCACAAGACTCATCTATATGCATGAAAACTGGTACACTACATGTGCATGTGCAAGGTGTTCACCTATATGTGTGGAGACAGATACAACATGAGCACACAGATATGGGCAAATTTGCACACAAGTGTCTAGTACATGTACACATTTGTGTTTGTGTGCACAGTTGTACTAGAGCATACACACCCAAACCCATCTCACCCATGCAGGAATGCACAGATATGTACACACAGAGATCACACTGGTGCACACATGTAAACATGCACATACTCTCATGCAGGCAAGAGGGTCAGCACATCCATGGTGAGAGGTCTTCAGGGCCTTTTATGGAGGAAGGGATTGGTGAGGCTGTGAGGTACCAAAGCTGTATAGACACTGCCTTTGTGTTGAGTACCCACAGCCCATCCTAGGCCCCAGCATAATGTCTCAGCTCTGGCCCTTGGCCTGTACTTGTAGGGCTTGCAAAGGGAGGGATATCTCTGGAGACTCTTGATAGCCCCTAAGCCCAGCTATGATGGTCGGAAGGTCAGGCTGGGGATAGTCAAGAGTGAAAGAGCCAGGAGGGTCATCCTTTAGGTGATAGTTATCTCTTAATGAAATTTTGGTAGCCCTCAATCCCTTGTACCCTTGAAGCAGCCAACTGCTTCTGCTTCTGGGTTCTGTGCCCATAAGGAGTGGAAGCCATGGTAGGTCCTGACCACCCCTCCTGACCCACAGCCAGATGAGCTGACCAATGCGCTAGAGATCAGCAACATCGTGTTCACCAGCATGTTTGCTTTGGAGATGCTGCTGAAACTGCTGGCCTGCGGCCCACTGGGCTATATCCGGAACCCCTACAACATCTTTGATGGCATTGTCGTTGTCATCAGGTGAGGCCCATCCCCATCCAGGCCAGAGGCTTGGGGAGTCCCACTCATCAGGCACTGCAGAGAGCAAAGCCTGGTACAGGTGGAAGGTGGTTGATGGCATTCACGGTGGGGTAAGGGTGTGAGGACCCTGGTCATTCACGTAAGATCAGGTCAAAGTCCCCACCTTGGAGCTTTGTCTCTCCTACTGCACAGTTGGTCAGCCATGTCTGACATGAAGGTTTCTGGAATCTGGTGGTGTAGGTCAGCTTAGGGGCAGAGTCATGCTGGCTTTAAGACAAGGTTGGAAGGAGCATTTGCAACAGCAGAATAAGCCCAGAATGATGGGGAAACTTCAGGGTGAAACCCCTACCTTCCTTCAGAGGAGGTGGACCCTCAGGAGCTGCACCTGGCAATGAGAAATTGAACATACAGATGAACCAGGCTTGAAAGACTGGGATAGAAGAAAACCTCACATCAGCAAGCTCCCTAACCAACTGGAGGCAGGACTTCCCAGGGGTTTAGGGTCTATGACTAATGGAGATACTGCAGCTCCTTGGGTACCTTGATGTACCTGGACCTGCTCCCAGCTACAGGATTGACCAGAGGCCATTGCTTGGTGGCTTCCAGACTGGCAGTCCTACCTACAGGAAGAGGGCCCCACAATTGGAATGGGTCATCCTGACCCTTATTCTGGTGTCTCAACCAACAGTGTCTGGGAGATCGTGGGGCAGGCAGATGGTGGCTTGTCGGTGCTGCGCACATTCCGTCTACTGAGGGTGCTAAAGCTGGTGCGTTTCCTGCCAGCACTGCGACGGCAGTTGGTGGTGCTCATGAGGACCATGGACAATGTTGCCACCTTCTGCATGCTGCTCATGCTCTTCATCTTCATCTTCAGGTGGGTGGGGCCCGGGACCAGAGAATGCACCTGTCCTGCTGTCAGCCCCTGCACTTCTGCTCCCTCAGGCAGTACTGATAGGGCACCCACCACATTGGGGACTAGGCATGGTGGGGGTGGGGCTCAGGGGGTTCTGTTCTGTGGGTCTTACAGATGGAAGATGAGCTTGGTCCTGGAAATGGTGCCAGGCTCCTTGTGGGGTTTGCTGAGTCCCTGACATGCGCCAGCCTCTGCCACATGGGGAAGAGTTGGGAGGGTGAACAGCCCACAGAACGCATCCTGATCAGTGGGGCTTATACCGATATCTGCCTGAAGCCAGAGTGGCCTCTTCTCATCCATCCCTTTAATGCCCAAGGTCTTCTCAGCTATAGAGAAAACCAGTGAGCTCCAGGGTCAGCCTTTACTGCAAAAACTGTGTGTGGTGAGGTGGGCAACTGACTCAGGTGGAGGGGAGGTGCTAGGCACCTCACTCAGTGTCTACCCCCCTCAGCATCCTGGGCATGCACTTATTTGGTTGCAAGTTCAGCCTGAAAACTGACTCAGGAGACACCGTCCCTGACAGGAAGAACTTCGACTCCCTGCTGTGGGCCATCGTCACTGTGTTCCAGGTACTGCCCCAATTGTCCCTAGGACAACCCAAGCTAAATCCCTGAGGAGACAGACTGGGGGACAGCTGGCTCCATCCCCAGGGGGGCACACAGGGTCTCCTTGTGGGACCAGAGCCACCTCCAGCCCTGTGGACATGTCCCCTCAGATCCTGACACAGGAGGATTGGAATGTAGTCCTCTATAATGGCATGGCCTCTACTTCCTCCTGGGCTGCTCTCTACTTTGTGGCCCTGATGACCTTTGGGAACTATGTGCTCTTCAACCTGCTGGTGGCCATCCTCGTAGAGGGATTTCAGGCGGAGGTAATGAGCAAGGAGAGTGAAGCCTGGGTAGGGAGGTGGGGTCCTGCCTGAGAAGACCCTCCACAGGCCTGCACTGCCTCTAGGAGCAACCTCTAGGCCCCCATATCTACTCTGTTCCTAAGCCAGGGGACTCCCTACCCTGGGTACAAAGGATGCTGCTATGGGAGCCTCACACTTGCCTTGGGTGCAGGGTGACGCTAATAGATCTGACATTGATGAGGACAAGACATCTGCCCACTTGGAGGAAGATTTTGATAAGCTCAGGACCACAGGTGTGTGCTTAAATAGCATGAACTGGGGCAGGGGCCTGGCCAGTGGGTACTGGAACCTCTGAAGGCTCAGACAGCCTCTTATCCCCTAGAGATGAAGATGTACTCACTGGCTGTGACCCCAAATGGGCACCTGGAGGGCCAGGGCAGTCTGCCCCCTCCCCTCATCACACACACAGCGGCCACACCCATGCCTACCCCCAAGAGCTCCCCACACCTGGACACAGCTCATGCTGTCCTGGACTTGAGGCGCAGCAGCAGCAGCTATGTGAGCCCCCAGCTGGGAGACCAGAAGTCTCTGGTAGGGACCATCTCCAACCCCTGAGATGAAGGAGGGGTCCCCATAAAACCCCAGCCCTGTTTAAGACAGAGTCGGGGTCTTTCTGCTCTTGGAAGCCAGGGTAGCTGTTCCTGTGAGATGAGCATAGAGAGACCTGAAGGAGGACTGTGTACAATCTCTCCTGGTCACAACAATATGAAATTGCAATAGAAGATAAAGGCTGGCCAAGCACAGGGCATATCAGACAAACAGAAAAGGGCCAACAAAGATACTTAAAGCAACCTGGGAAACATGCTGAGGGTTTGTGGGTCACAGAGGACATGGTAGCTGAGAGTCTCCTGTGCAGGAAATGGCCACCCCTAATGGTGGTTGCCCATGGCTACTAAGTCCCTGAGATGGCCCCAGTGAGAGGTGGGCAGAGGTGGACCATATGGATGGAAACAGGAAGATCTGAGGGCAGGGATTAGGTGAGGGAGGGAAGAGAAGATGGAGGAATCATGGGCCCCTGGAGCAAAGCCACCCATTAGACCATGTCATAGCCACATGCTATGGGTTCCTGAGAAGTGGACAGATAGGCTAGTGGAGAATAAGTCTCAGCTCCTGAAGGACCCCAGAGGTGAAGCTGAGTCTGGATAGGGTACACAAGTGATGGGAAGAGCCAGAGAGGACCTGGGCTGCTGGGCCTCTGCAATTCCAGAGGTCATTCAGAGTTGTACTTTACCAGCCCTGGCTGATGGGAGCCTTTGCTCTGACCATGACCAGCCAAGTCAAGTGTTGCCTGAAAACAGAATTGGTAATGCCCTGGTAGAGTGCTTGCTGGGTGGGTTGACCATGCATGCCCAGGCCATGATGGCAGTCGACGATGACTTGAGAAAGGCCCTTATGGCCCAGAAGCTAGGGTATGTGATAACCCTCAGAACTGTACCAATCTGCTTACTCTCCTGCGCCCCCAGGCTAGCCTTCACAGCTCGCCTTGTGCACCCTGGGGCTCCAACAGTGCAGGGAGCAGCAGGCGGTCCAGCTGGAACAGCCTGGGCCGTGCACCCAGCCTCAAGCGCCGCAGTCAGTGTGGAGAACGAGAGTCGTTGCTGTCCGGTGAGGGCAAGGGCAGCACAGATGATGAGGCCGAGGATGGCAGGCCAAGTGCAGGGACCCACCTAGAGACCTCATCTGGGCCCCGAACCACCACCCCATTGCGGCGAGCCGAGTCACTAAACCACCGCAGTACACTAGACTTGCGCCCCCCACGGCCTGCTGCCCTCCTGCCAACCAAATTCCATGACTGCAATGGGCAGATGGTGGTGCTGCCCAGCGAGTTCTTTCTGCGAATTGACAGTCACAAGGAGGACACAGCCGAGTTTGATGATGACATGGAGGATGTAAGTGAGAGACATAAGGCGGGGCATGACTAGACCCACAGCCATCCCCACTTCTCTCTCAGTGCTTGTTCCCCAAAACAGAGTCCGAAGCAAACAATATATTCATGGTGACTTGACAGAAGGGAAGGGAGCAGATCACTAAGGGCAGGTATCCAGCTTCAGCCAGTCCCAGAGTTGGACCCACCTGTCATTGGGGGCCAGGTCCCTTAGGGTCAGGAACTGCGTCTCTGTTGGAGGAAGGAAGGTGACCACTAATCAGACCAGTTCTGTTGACTGAAGGCAGTTCTGGAGCCGATTCACTGTCCCCTCCCTGTGCCCTCCTAGCGTGGCCACCCTCCCATTATCTAGGTTGGGAAGGTGAAGTGGAAGGGACAGAGAATGGCAAGAGAGGTCAGCCTGCAGCAGAAGGGTCAGGATGGGCATGTTCCAGGAGACAGCAAGGAGAGGCTGCCTAGACTTAGACTACCTCTGCATCCCCAGAGCTGCTGCTTTCGCCTGCACAAGGTGCTAGAGCCCTATGCGCCCCAGTGGTGCCGCAGTCACGAATCCTGGGCCCTGTATCTCTTCCCACCACAGAACAGGTGAGGTGTTTGGCATTGAGGTTGCACATCCCACTGTGGGAGGCAGGGGAGGATAGAGTGAGCCTGGCCTTACCCACCCATGGCAAGCATCTCACCTCAAAGGCCACTAGATAGCCAGCCACAGGCTCTGTACAAGCTGCTCTTAACCCTCTGCTGCCTCCCCAGGCTGCGTGTCTCCTGCCAGAAAGTCATTGCACACAAGATGTTCGACCACGTGGTCCTGGTCTTCATCTTCCTCAACTGCATCACCATTGCCTTAGAGAGACCAGATATTGACCCTGGCAGCACAGTGAGTTCCCGAAGGTGGCTGGCCCTCTGAACAGGGTAGGGTGGGGTGGACTTGGCCTACCCACTGGCCTCTCCCTGCAGGAGCGGGCCTTCCTCAGCATCTCCAACTACATCTTCACAGCCATCTTCGTGGTGGAGATGATGGTGAAGGTACCTATGCTCCCTTCCCTCTCTGGTCCCTGTCCCACACTGCCCCCTCCTGGGACCCTCACCAAGCCTGTGCACCACTGCCCCCTCCCCAGGTAGTGGCCCTGGGCCTGCTGTGGGGTGAGCACGCCTACCTGCAGAGCAGCTGGAATGTGCTGGATGGGCTGCTTGTCCTGGTGTCCCTGGTTGACATCATCGTGGCCATGGCCTCAGCTGGTGGTGCCAAGATCCTGGGTGTCCTGCGTGTTCTGCGCCTGCTGCGGACCCTGCGGCCACTGAGGTGGGGGCACAGAGGGCAGGGGCCACCCATACAAATCCAGAAAGGACCCAGAAGCCCAGTACAGCCTCTGCCCACCAGTATGGCTCTTGTGCCACACATTCACATCACCATAGGGCTTTTGCACATGCTGGTCCTTCTGCCCACTGGTGGTCTTCTTGGATGCGCCCAACGGCGTATCCCCTCTGCCTGGGTGCAGGGTCATCAGCCGAGCTCCAGGCCTCAAGCTGGTGGTAGAAACTCTGATATCATCGCTCAGGCCCATTGGGAACATCGTCCTCATCTGCTGCGCCTTCTTCATCATCTTTGGCATACTTGGCGTGCAGGTGTGTGGCCCCAGCTAACCCAGGGTCAGCCCCTCCCTGGGCCTCAGTTCCCCATGGTGGAATGGACCCTCTCCTACTGGTTGGGTGGTCATCAGGCCTGGCTTGGAGCCCAAGAGGCCTGGGGTGGGAAGGTTGACTGGGTCAGGCTGCCTGGGGTGACATCCCCTCCCGACCAGCTCTTCAAGGGCAAGTTCTACTACTGTGAGGGCGCAGATACCAGGAACATCACCACCAAGGCTGAGTGCCGTGCCGCCCACTACCGCTGGGTACGGCGCAAGTACAACTTCGACAACTTGGGTCAGGTAGGTACTGGGAAGCATACAAAGTAGTCATGGTGGTAACTAGGGGTATGGGGGCCATGGCCACAACCCTACACTGCCAGTGACCCTTACACTGCTGCACAGGCGCTGATGTCCCTGTTTGTGCTGTCGTCCAAGGATGGCTGGGTAAACATCATGTATGATGGGCTGGACGCCGTTGGCATTGACCAGCAGGTGCGAGAGGCTGGGACAGCTGCCATGGGTAACCTTGAGCAAATCTATGAGTCCCTGGGATTGAGGCAGGTCTCAGTAAACTTCCTCAGAATATCTGGCCACCACCATTGTATGGCCACTCCCCCTGGCCGTACAGGCCAGTCCCTCGGAGGGCACCTCCCGCTGAAAGGTGGACTCTTGGAGACCCACCACCTCATGTGCTGCAGCCTGTGCAGAACCACAACCCCTGGATGCTGCTGTACTTCATCTCCTTCCTGCTCATCGTCAGCTTCTTTGTGCTCAATATGTTCGTGGGCGTAGTGGTGGAGAACTTCCACAAGTGCCGGCAGCACCAGGAAGCCGAGGAGGCACGGCGGCGTGAGGAGAAGCGGCAGCGGCGCCTGGAAAGGAGGCGCAGGAGTAAGGCGGACCCCCGTGGTGTCGGGTCGGTACCTGTGCGCATGCTGTGTGGTGCCCAGCTCCCAGGCCCGCAGCTCACAGCCCACGTGGTTCTGCACTTGGCCGCCTTGCATGGGGCCTGGGTCTCGGAAGAGGGGCTAGCAGGAGCCGATAGCTGCCATGGCAGGAGGCAGGGTACCCCCATGTGGCCTCAGGAGGAAGCTGGGACACTACCAAGTCCCCTTATGAATTAGGCACAGGAGAGCGAGGCCCTAGCTTGGGAGCAAGGAGGGTTTCCCACAGAGGCTCCCAGTGTTCCTACGTCAGCTGCTCAGACATGTCCTTATTTTTCCAGGCACTTTCCCCAACCCAGGTACCTGCCCTGCTTTGCATGCTCAGCCTGCTACTGCTGCTGCTGCTGCTGTTACTGCTGCTACTACTACAGTGGGAAGGGCGGGTGTCACAGGCCTCCAAGGGCCGCCTCAGGGTGGGCACAGGTGCCAGGCGCCAGAGGGTGGGAGGAAGGGCCAGGGCTTGCCCACCAATGTCTATGTTGCTACCTCCGTCCCTGCTTGGCCCTCATGGCTGGCATGTGCACACGTCTGCTGTGCAGGGGACAAGGGCCATCCTCACTCTTAAGGGGCTTATGGCTGCTCTTTGTTGTCTCTGCTGGCTGCCAGCCCCTCTGGCTGCCTGTATTGAGCTGAGTTTGCTAGTGACCGCATGCTGGGCTGAGGAGCATGAGGGTCCAGGGTGGGGTGGTTGCTGGTCAGCCCCTGCTCTCCTGGGCCCTGGCCTTCAGCCCCTGAATGTATGATTCTGGGGGCTACAGTGGGTTCTGGGGTACAGGGTAGTCCACACCCTCACCTTAGAGCTCAGCCTCACTGAGATCCTGGGAGCTGCTGCAGGCACAACATACAGACAAGCCTATGGGGATGCATGTTGGGATGGGCACCCCAAAGTGGGCTCCTGTCTTGCTGTCCTGATGTCAGCCTCAGGCTGGCTGAGGTGTAGTTCCTAGGCCATAGTTAATCACCAGTGGCCCTTTGGAGGCTTGGAAGGGCTCAGCCTGGGGGCCAGAGATGACTCATATGTCATCTCTATCCAGCTTCAGGGACAGATGGGGAGATGAAAGAGGGGTCACCCCACCTCATCAGCAAGATGTCTGAACCCTGATGTTTGTACAGGGTAGACGTAGAAACTAATCCTTCCTGCTTCCCAAACTAAGCCCAAACTAAAGAACAGGGGCTTGGCAGGGACCCAGGTGGAGGCTGTGACAGCTTCCTTGTACTTCTTGGGTGTTGCTGGGGGCTGCTAGTCCAGGAAGTTGACTTGCCCACTAAGTACCATGGACTCACAGGCCTCTTGGCCAGAACAGGCCCTTTAAAAAAAAAAAAAATCACTCTTCTCCAGTTTAGGACTAGTCCCAGGGGCCACCCAGCCCAGCCAGGGCCCTGCCTGAGCTGCCCCCACATGATTAGGTCAGGATCTCTGAATACCAAAGGGCGGTGGGCACAGTATCCAGGTGGCTCAGTGGTCCCCCCTCCCCACAGAGGCCCAGCGCCGGCCCTACTATGCAGACTATTCGCACACGCGCCGCTCCATCCACTCGCTCTGCACCAGCCACTACCTGGACCTCTTCATCACCTTCATCATCTGCCTCAATGTCATCACCATGTCCATGGAGCACTACAACCAGCCCAAGGTGGCCAGGGGCAGGAGCTAGACTGGGGAGGGGGTCCCCCATAGGATGTGGGGGACACAGAACCTGTATTCTAACTAAGATACTGAAACTTGCTGGGGCCCTCCCTGCAAGTTCAGATACTGTTGTGTGGACAGCCAAAGCAAAAGGGGCTGGCCAGAGACTGCAGGCCTGAGGATCATTGTCCTTTCTGTCACCCTCCATATGCATGCTGAAGGGCTTTTGTCTTCAAGTAGCATGAGGCCTCAGAGCAACAGAGCTTTTTAATGGAATACATTTGGCCTTAAGAAAATGCCATCTGTCCATTAGGGTTGAGGACAGAGCAGAGGTTAGTTTCTCCCTTTCCTGAGGTCCTCAGCCTGCTTGCAGGGTCATCAGGTGATGATCCCAGACCTGGTACAGACCTCATGGACTCAGCACTGAGGGAACAAGGAGATGGGGGCAGCCAGACACCTCATAACACCTTAGCCAGTCTCTACTCTGTTCCTAGTCACTGGATGAGGCTCTCAAGTACTGCAACTACATCTTTACCATCGTCTTTGTCTTTGAGGCTGCACTGAAGCTAGTGGCCTTTGGGTTCCAGAGGTTCTTCAAGGACAGGTATGTGGTCTTAGAGGCAGGGCAGGTGGTAGGGAGAAGATTTCTTGTCCTTCTGGGTGAGCTTTGGCAGAGCTGCAGCTACTCCAAGCCATAGTCATGCTAAGCCTCACCCCTGGCCGGCCAGGTGGAACCAGCTGGACCTGGCCATAGTCCTCCTGTCCATCATGGGCATCGCACTAGAGGAAATTGAGATGAATGCTGCCCTGCCCATCAACCCCACCATCATCCGCATCATGCGCGTGCTTCGCATTGCCCGTGGTAGGTGGCCCCCGTGTGTCCCATCCAGGGTCCACCCAGGCTGTCATTAGAAGGCCCTAGGCACAATAGGAGATGTGTTTCACCCTCAGCTGTTGACTGGTATGTCTGCAGCCAGGGGGACCCTGGCCTCTAGATGGAAAGTGAAGGGGACTTGTATCCAGGGTCCCCTAGATAGTCAGGTCAGCCTGGCCCTGCTGACACTCAGCTCCTGCCCTAGTGTTGAAGCTCCTGAAGATGGCCACAGGCATGCGTGCCCTGTTGGACACTGTGGTTCAAGCCCTGCCTCAGGTAGGTTGGGATCCAGGACCCCTGAGGGCTACCATGAGCCTTCAAGGGTACAGGCTTCAGGAAGAGCATGGCATATGCCCGTCGCCCACTTGCTCTGTCCTGAGGCCGGGGTCATGCCCGAGTGCTTGGCTCAGCTGATCTGGAAGAGGTTGGAGATGGTGCTACACCTTGGCCTCAGGCTCTGGTCAAGAGCTGTAGTGGCTGGTGCCTGCTCAGCTGGTTCACTTGAGAGGTAAGGGGCTACAGCAGGGCCCAAAGTGCTTTTGGGCTCCAGTAGTGGCCTATAAGCTGATACAGACCAGCACCCTGACTTCCTGTGCCCTTAACCCAATCCATTCTGTCTCCAAGTTACATGGCCCGTCTACAGCCCCACTTGCCACAGTACAACCAGCTGGCTGTCCACCCTAGCACTTATGCCCGTGCCTTCCAACTGACAGGCCACCAAGCCATCTTGTTCTGTCTACCCAGTCACCCACCCCATTATCACCTCTTCCTAACATGTGCCTGTCGACCCTCACACCCACCCACCATCCCTTTATATTCCCTGCCTCTTTTCTGATACATGCTACCCTTAGCATCATTTTGAGCTTCATCTGAGTGACTTTCTACAATGTGGTGGGGGAGGTAGGGAGGCCTAGGTAATGCCTGGGGTAGGGGGCTGGAACAAATGCTGAGGTATGGTGTGTACAGATGTTGGAGTTGGCAGATTCTTGAGAGAGGCTGTGTGAGATCCCTACTGGTGTTCCTGTCCATTGAGCTCCAGCCCAGGGTCCCACTACAGGGACTCTGAGGCTGAGGTGGCCTCTACACGGGGTGAGCATGAGCTCCCAGGGGGACCCCCTTGGCCTCAGGAGCCAGGCAGAGTAGAGCAGCTCCCAGGGACACCTAGGTGAGCAAGGTGGTTGTTGGGAGCCATAGAGGAGCAGAGACCAGGAGGGCCATGGGGCTTAAAACAGGGCCCTAACTGGTCCCCCTTTCCAGGGCTTGGAGCAGTAGAGCAGGGTGAGGTAGAGCAGGGCAGATCCAGGCCTACACAGGGTTGACCTTATTCTGCTTTTTTCTCATGTAGGTAGGGAACCTTGGTCTTCTTTTCATGCTCCTGTTTTTTATCTATGCTGCCCTGGGAGTGGAGCTGTTTGGAAGGCTAGGTGAGTAGCCATGCTGTGCCCTTCTCACAAGGTGATACCTATCTCCAGGAAGGTAGCTCTTGTGTCCACCCTCCAACTACACACAGGTCCATGTGCAGTGCAAGGCACTTTAACTGTAATCCATCCCAGGAGGGCAATAAGCCTCCTGCTATATCCTCAACCTCTACCTACTCTTTACCTTCATCACTTAGAGCAGGTGCACATGCTCATTTGCCTGTGCATACATAGGCATGTCCATTCAGAGGCATGCTCCCAGACCTGTGATGCTAAGACATAACTGTACACATGTCCACACTCCAACCAGCCAGCCAGGGCCACATTCAAGAGTAAATTAGTTGGAAAACGGGTACATACTAATATGTGTGCATGCCTCACCCCAGGAGACATATTGCCAGTGGTATGTCCTTCTGGACTGTCACTTAGGACAAGTGTAAGACCTGCCTACCCCCTTCTTGACTAGGCTAGGTGGGTGACTCTCCACAGGCAGCCCACTCACTGCTGGGCCCTTCTGGCTACAGGGATCTCCCCCTGCACCACGCCCCCAAAGCTAGGTCTGACAACTCCTGAGCCAGACTCAGCAGTCAGGGCACCTTGTGTTCCAGAAAGGCTCCATTACTCGGTATCCACCAGCCAGAGGCCAGGCCTAGGGCTCAAGAGTACATGGAAACTCAGGTAGAATTATCTGCTGAGAATGCCTTAGTGCAGGACAGCTACAGAGGCCTTGCCCCAGGTTCCAGCCCTCACCCCAGCCATTCCCTTACCACGATGTGGTCTGCTGACCTTGCCCCAGGCCAGCAGAGACAGGGCTGCTCCTGACCATGTGGGGCCTCTCCTTGCAGAGTGCAGTGAGGACAATCCCTGTGAGGGCCTCAGCAGGCATGCCACCTTCACCAACTTCGGCATGGCCTTCCTCACGCTATTTCGAGTGTCAACTGGAGACAACTGGAATGGGATCATGAAGGTAACTATGGGGCTGCCCTCCCGCACTTTCCAGCCCTGGCAGGGAGGGAGGACAGAGCCAAGACTGTGTTGCCTACCCCAGGACACTCTGCGTGAGTGCTCCCGTGAGGACAAGCACTGCCTCAGCTACCTGCCAGCGCTCTCGCCTGTCTACTTTGTTACCTTTGTGCTGGTGGCCCAGTTTGTGCTGGTTAATGTGGTGGTGGCTGTGCTCATGAAGCACCTGGAGGAAAGCAACAAGGAGGCCCGAGAGGATGCCGAGATGGACGCTGAGATCGAACTAGAGATGGCGCAAGGGTCGGCTTCCCAGTCCCCTCCCGCAGCACAGGTGAGGCTGCCCAGGGACCTAGGGTGATCCCAGGGGTTCTGGGGATGCTGCTAAGCTGACATAGACAGCCTCCCTCATCATAGGAAAGACCAGGCACCCAGCCAGACACCCCGAACCTCCTGGTTGTGCGCAAAGTGTCAGTGTCCAGGATGCTATCGCTGCCCAATGACAGCTACATGTTCCGGCCTGTGGCACCAGCTGCTGCCCCCCAACCTCACCCACTGCAGGAGGTGGAGATGGAGACCTATGCGGGCAATGCCCCCTCGGGTATGGACTCTTGCAGGGGCAGCCAGGGAAATAGGACCAGGTGGGAGACAAGATTGGGTGGGCAGGAAACTGGGCAGGATGGAAGGGAGAATGGGAGAGGATGGGAGGGAAGATGGGGCCAGGCCCACAGGCCATACAGTTCAGATGTGTGTCGTCACCTCCCCCCCCCAGGCCCAGTCACATCTGATCACTTGCCATCCCTGGAGCCCTGTGCCTCCCTCCAGGTCCCATCGACTGCATCCTCCCCAGCCAGGGGCAGTGACTCCCTTCGTGCCCTGTCCCCACAGGGTACACCCCGCTCCCTGAGCCTCACTCGGATACTCTGCAGACAGGTAGGGGAAGCCTTCATCCCACACGCCTCAGGAGCTCCACAGGGTTCTTTCCTCCATTTCGAGGGTGAACAAGATGGAAACCCAAGAGGGCATGTCCTGTGTCTTTGGGGCTTGGAGTTTTCCATCTCCACTTGATGTTGTCTCAGGCCCTCAACCAGATGTCTCAGCATAGTCCATTAACAGTTCAGCTGTGGTGGTAGAGCTCCTCACAAGGATTCAAGTCCCTTTCTTAGGCAGCAGTCTTAGGCCCCCACCTTTCCTTCCTCTCCTCAATTCCCACTACCTGGCACAAAAGCCTCTTACAACATGGGAGCTCTTGGGAGCATCCTATTCTCATGATGCCAAGCTGGGTTGTGGGGCTAAAGAGTGGGAAGGTGACATGGTCCCTCAAGGTTCCCTGGGCCCTGACAGGCTCTATCTCCAGGATCTTAGCCCTCCCAAGCCTCTCTTCCATGAACCCACAGTGTGGAAGGGGCATCTTCTGAGGCTTTATAGGTCACTGGGGAAGACCAAGATCTGGGATGTTCACACCAACAGCTCCTAGTCCCATCTCACCCTGCGTCCCCAGCCTGGAGGGTGAGGGCCGGACCTGGAGTGCTGCCCACCCTGACTCCCCCCACCCCGCCCAGGGCCCAGATAGGGAAGGATATCTGGGATACTGGGTGCTGAACAAGGTTTAATATCTAACTTGGACCTCTATGCCATTTCAGGAGGCCGTGCACACCGAGTCCCTGGAAGGGCAGGTTAAAGACCCTAGAGACAGCATCCCAGACTACACAGAACCTGCCAAAAATTCCCCTGTGAAGCAAGTGTCTCTGGGCTCCCTGCAGTCCCCTCCATGCTCTCCAAGGCCCACCAGTGTCCGTACTCGCAAGCACACCTTTGGGCAGCACTGCATCTCTAGCCACTCTCCCACTCTGGTTGGAGATGAGGCTGAAGCAGCAGACCCAACAGACGAGGAGGTCAGCCACATCACCAGCTCAGCCCACCCCTGGCCAGCTACTGAGTCCCACAGCCCGGAAGCCTCCCCTGCAGCCTCCCCTGTGGCCCAAGGAGCAGTGGGCAGTGGGCAGGACCCACACAGGTTCTGCAGTCTAGATGCTCAGAGCTTCCTGGACAAGCCAGGTCGGGCAGATGCACAAAGGTGGTCCTCAATGGAACTGGACATTGGGGACAGCCACCTAGAGTCTGGGGAGGTGAGGTGCCGGACCTCAGAGCTCGAGCCAGCTCTGGGGACACGAAGGAAGAAGAAGATGAGCCCCCCCTGCATCTCTGTTGAGCCTCCCACTGAGGATGAGGGCTCCTCCCGTCCCCCTGCAGCAGAAGGCAGCAACACTACCCTGAGGCGCCGAACCCCATCCTGTGAGGCTGTCCTCCACAGGGACTGCCTAGAGCCTGCAGAGGGCCCAGGCACTGGAGGGGACCCTATAGCCAAGGGTGAGCGCTGGGCCCAGGCCTCCTGCCGGGCAGAACTCTTGACTGTCCCTAACTTTGCCTTTGAGCCTCTGGACATGGGGGGCCCTGGTAGAGACTCTTTCTTGGACAGTGACCACAATGTGACCCCCGAAATGAGAGCTTCCTCCTCGGGGGCCATAGTACCTCTAGTACACCATGAAACTGAACTTCCTGTACCCTCTGGTGACCCCCCAGAGAAGGGGCGGGGACTGTACTTCACTGTGCCCCAGACCCCTTTGAAGAAACCAGGGTCTCCTCCAATTACCCCTGCCCCAGATGACAGTGCAGACAAGCCAGTGTAGATCAGGCTGTGTGTACACAGGGCTTTGGCACTGGGGTTAGTGGCTCCTGGTAGGATGGTAACCCCAGGTAAGGCCATGAGTGGACCTTGGCTCAGGCCCCACTGAGGCAGAGGGGCCCAGGGGAGATGTCAGCCCAGGAGAGGTGGCAAGTGTTCAGTCTCTGCACAGGAACAGCATTGGGCCCCATGAGCCTCCCTCGTGGTGATTCAGGTTTGGGTTTTCCTGAGTTTTACCACCACCATCTGAAGTCATAACAGGACCAGGTCAAGCAGTCTCAGGAGGAGAGGCCGTGTCCTGGAAAGGACCAAAAATTCCTCATGGCCAGGAGGGTACCACAGGTCTGACCCATGGATTTCCATAAGGAGCACACACGCTTGAGTCTCTGTGCCCTGATAGGCAGACATTCGGTCCCACAGCCACCACAACCAATATCACCTTTGCTCACAGTCTGAGTTCTTGTCCATCATTCAGCATTTTTAGCTCCTACACCACCCGTGACCCCCAATCCATCTGCTTAGGTGTTCAGAAACTTCCCAGTGATGCTGGGAAGGACCACATCACCAAGGAGTCCTGACCCACGCAATAAGACATCACAGTTCCATTGTAATGGGGCTTCCCCTCCATCCCAAGCAGTTGACCTTGACATTCATTTGACATCTGTTTGGTTTGTTTCATCTGTTTTATAAATTCAGGTTAAATGTCGCAATAATCCGATGCAGAAAACTTGGCTTCTTAAGTCAAGGAAAAGGGGAGGGATGGGGCAGAGCAAAGCTGAATAAATACTAACTTATTTAAGAAACATTTAGATGGCAGCATCTGAGTCAGGGGCCTGAAGTTGGGTGGGAGGGAGAGTCCAGTCAGGCTCTACCCAGCCAACACTTGGCCACCAGGACTCCAGAGACCAACAGCAAGAGGAAGCCAGGCAGGAAGAGGCCAGCCAGGAGGGGAATACAGGGGAGTGCCTGCATTCCTGAGTTCCCTAATTCCGGGATGTGGTGGTGGATCCAGTTTACGTAGACAGTGACCCGAGCATAGACACCAGGCCGGTCAGGGCGGCCACAACCCTCACCCCAGCTAACAACACCAGCCTGCTGCCAGGACCCAGCCGCCTGGCAGACCAGTGGCCCACCAGAGTCATCCTGCAGGACAGGTCAGGGTAAGGATGGAATACTAAGGACTTGGAGGCCCTCACCAGGATCTGCCATCCTCTGTTCCCAGCCAGCTCACCTGGCAGGCATCCCCAGGGCCCCTGGCACACAGCATGTCTGGCTGGATGATACTGCCGTTGGAACTGGTGTAGGCCTGACTGCAGGTCTCTGTATCTACCACGGAGACTTCTGCTTCCTGCAGGTTGTATGGAGGTTTCAGAGGCTCTGAGGAAAAGGAAGGCTCAGGAGAAGTTGAGGCATCCAGCCCTACCCTGGCGGGAGTTGGGGAGGGGCACATCTTTACTCTATTACCTCCCACCATGGTGGCCTTGTCACCCCGAGTCTGTAAGTCAGACTTGAGAATCTTGATTAAGATCAACATGTTATTGACTCCTAAGGGCAGGGATGACTGTTAGGAGCAAGTGGTGGCACCAGTGGATCCTGTTCCTCAGGTGGCCCTTGCCTTCCTTTGACCCCATCGGGGAGGGTTACAGAAGGAGCTCCTTACCTCCCTCCCTCGTGTGGCCCCAGCCTGTCACCCAGCACTGCATCCCAGGGTGGAAGTTAGCTGAGGCTTCTGGGAGGCACACAGGCCAAACCCAGTTGGAGAGGACCACAGGGGTGCCCAGCTGCACCAGGGCAATGTCCCCACTGGACCCTGGTGGTCCTGGGGGGTTGGAGTACAGGATGATCTGCTTCACAGTGGAGAAATTAGGAGAAAGGGTGATGGTCAGCTCTCCCAGGTGCACCTGGTAATCTGATGAATTCAAGGACCTAGGAGGAGAGAGATGTAGGTGGCCCCTGCCTTTGACAGTAGCCCACCCAGTCCCCACCCCTGCCAGTATCTGATGCCCCACTCCTCTCTCCTCAGCTGCAGGTGCAGAAGCAGCTTCTGTGTGCACATGACCTGAGCCTGGCAGCATTTCTCATTCCAGGGCCCAAGGATAGCACTCTGGGGTCCTGACACCCCTCTCCAGTACACTGGAGGCCAACAACTCTCCTGAGACTCAGAAGGGCTGGTCAAGAGGTGTGCAGCTGTAGGAACTGCTTGCAGCTAACTTGGCTTAGAAATTTTTCCAATACAGGCTGTTCAAGTGGCCAGAAACGCCCTAAGGTCCTCCTATTCTACTGGTAGAAGTGGGAGAGGGGGCCCCACCCCCACTGGGGCAGAACACTGCCACATCAGGTGGGTGGGCCTTAATGCAGTGTTCTCTTTTCATTACAGAGGAAATCCTGAATCCAAAGGTGAGTCACCTGGTCTTGTTTGCTGCCTCTGCCCCATAGGCTTGGACAGTCAGGCCTCACCAGATCACTTACCCAGAGAAGCAGTGTGCAGCAGTGAGCACCCATTCTGGGTTGAGCAGGGACCCTCCACACACATGCACCTTTTGTAGACGGAGGCTGGCCTGCCATGGCCAGGCACCAGCTGGGGCAGCATGGCCTCCCACGATTTTGCTCCCTGCACCTGAAACCTTGGGCTGGCCACACCCTGAGCCAGAGGAGAAGCCATTGGCTGGGGAATGCCAGAGGCTGGCTTTCTGCCCAGTGCCCTCTGGGAAGCTCTCTCTGACAACTTCCCTTTTAAGCTTCTTGGGGATCCTTTCATGTCTCAGCTCCCCACCAGCTGGACCCTCCCCAGAAGCATTATATACAGAAAAAAAAGGTACCCTAGAAATAACTTGTGGGCCTTGGTTTCTGAACACTATGCTCTACAGGATGTAGCAGGGCTTCTTAGAGAGATGACTGAGTGGGGCTGGAACAAGCAGCTCACTGCCCAGGAAGCAAGGGGGTGAAGAGGGGCTCAGAGTGATGGGACCAATGAAGGCCCAAGAGGTAGGGGAGGGATGTCTTCTTGGAGGAGGGCAGGGTTTCCTTTTGTAGTGACAAATGTTTGGAACATAGAGGTAGTGTTACAAAACACTAGGAATGTGCTAAATGCTGCCAAATGTATCCTGGCTAAAATTGATGTAAATTTTACCTCAACCAATTTTTTTAAAATGAAGATATAGAGGCCATCCCACAGGGGCTTCACTGGCAAGTTCTAATAGATTAAGAGCTATACAACAGAATAAAATAGGAAATTGAGTCCACACTGATAAAAGATGGAAGCAGACAGGGCATTCCTCACCCAGAATCCCAGATAAGTCCTAAGGAGGGTTAGTGAGTCTCCCAAGAACAGCATCAGTGGAAGAAAGGGGTGGACTGTGAGGGGCAGCAGGTTACACAGGAGAGTCAAAGTAGCGCCTGAAGATAGAAAGTATCCACAACAGGGAGAGGTGCAGCTTTGCAGGTGAAGCTGGCCTGTGTTCCCTCAGCTTGGATACCAGAGAGGAGATGCCTGTGACAAAGCACCTGGACTCCCTGGGCCTTCAGGTCACCCTCCCCAATCATAGACACTGTCCTCTCCGGGGTCTGCCTACCTCTTTAATCCTAGAACATCTGTTGAGAACATACCTGACTGCAGAGCCTCATGGGAGATACCTGAGGGATGGAGACAGAAGGGTGAAGGGGACTGTCCCTGGAAAGGACTTCCAGCAGTCCCGAGTACTACCCCCTAAGTCCCAGGATGGCCCTAATGTAAGGTGCAAAGCCAGGATCTAATCATGTAGGTGGGGCCCTGCCAGGTGGCCAGCTGTCGTCCTAGGCCCAGGGCAGGGTGAGACCAGCAGCCATTGGCCGTAAATGGCAGCTGGGAGGCACTGAATGCTATCTTGGCCTCAGACCCCACGACCTCTGAGTCCCCCTTAAGAAAGGTCTTACCAGGGTCTGGAGCTGCAGGTGCCCCCACCCCCACCCCAGGCCTCTGTCTCCAGCACTGACTGCCAGACCACCCAGTTGAGGGGCCCAGACTGAGCACATCACAAGGCCCACCATGAGAAGCCTGGCATTTGTTCTAAGCCTAGACTTCAAGGCACCTGCTCCCTCAGCAGGGCTCCCAGCTCTCTCAGACCTCCAACTCAGTGGCTAGTGAAAAATACTATGAATTGGGACTGGAAAGATGGCTCAGTGGTTAAGAACACTGACTGTTCTTACAGAAGACCCGGGTTCATATCCCAGCACCCACATGGCAGCTAACAACTGTCCATAACTCCAGTTCTAGGGGATCCAACAGCCTCTGTCCTCCGCGGGCATTGCACGACACGGGTGCACTTACATGCAGGCAATACATGCATACACATAAAATAAAAATAATAAATAAAAAGAAAAATACTATGAATCCAGGGGGAGGCTGGGAGAGGAAACAGGCCTACCTCACCCCAAGACAAGATACAAATACGATGCCTCAGTAACCCCAGATCAATTCCTTACCAGGAAGAGCCAGAAACAGTAGGAAGCCACAGGGTCCCAGGTCCATGGCATCTGCCCATAGCAAGGACAGGACTGCCCCCTTCCCCTGGCCAGCCCTGGACCTGCAGGGTGGGGTGGGGTGCGGTGGGTGGGGTGGGGTGGGATTGGCCTATTTGCTGTAAGGCAGGAGGGAGACGGAAGCAGGTTCTCCACCTGATCCTGTTCATACCACAGGGAGGGGCCCTCTACTTGTCTACATAGGGGCCACCCAGCCTTGGCAGCAAGGGACCAGTTCACAGAATACTACAGGGACAGGTTGGTACACAGTTGTCCCCACTACAATCTGAGCTTCTCTTTCCCAGTGTGGAGAGAGGCAGTGCCACCTTGGTTCCCGCAGGACAGGCTTTCCCCATCCTCTGAGAGCCCAGCCTCCAGGACTCCTCTGAAGGGTCCTAGCCTGAGGCCTGGGGGAGGAAGCCCAGGCCTCTCTAACAACACACCCTCCTCAATGTCCCTGTTCCAACATCCAAACCTGGGTCTCCTGACTCCACCCCAGTCAGAGGGGCCAAGTCCTCTAGTTACCTAAGCAGGGTTTCCTATCTGACCTGATAACCAGCTGACCAGGGGTGTGGCTAAAGCCTGGAATCTTCCCCAGCTCCGAATCACAGGACGGGGTTGGAGGGTATCACTGACCCTCCAGGTGAGGGATCCCCTCTTAGATATGGGGAAACAGCCAGAGGAGAGTTGCTCAGCCCTTCAGGATGTAACATCACAGCTCAGGTTTGGCCTACTTCATACACACCTGTCCCACAATCAAGGCTCGAGTGCAGGTTAAATGTTTGACCTAGTAATGAATAAGGGCAGTATCTGCCCACCCTCTGTGACAGGCAGGACCCTGCCTCCCTCAGGTGACTGCACACCTGAGAAGGAACTGTTGGGAACATGGGACCTACCAGTTTAGCCCAGTTGAGCCTAGCACAGGCAGATAGTGATCCAAGAGCCTGATGTCACCCAGGTCTTTATGGAATCATATCCTTTAAATCTTGACCATACAAACTCTCCAAATCCTCACAGGAGGGGACTTCAGGACCCTCACCTGTCCTACCTCCACTTATCTTTGGTGTTGTGAACTGCATCTCCCTATGTACACCATCATCTGACTCCCCAAAGAGCCCTCAACATTCATCCCAGGCCGGCTGTCCAGGCTGGAACTCCATCCATGGATCCTCTCTCCAAAGTATGACAGTGGTGGCTTCTTGTGTACACTGGGCAGAAAAGCAACGGGAGGGACAGCATGGCCCTGGAAACACCTTCACCTACATACACACACACACACACACACACACACACACAGAGAGAGAGACACACAGACAAACAGACAGACAGACAGACACACACACACACACACATACACACACACATACACACACCTGCAAGGGTCACCTATAACTTGACTCAGGAGAACCAGGGCTTAGGACTGCATCTATCTGAAGTGGCCTGATTACCTGGGCACTAGCCTCTGACTGAGACAAGGATTTGGGCCCTGGTTCCCCAAAGTTCCCAACATGGCCTGGCCCTGTAGCCAATGGCCTAGATGAGACCAACAGTCATTTTTATCTGTTAACTGGCCCTGGGTTGAGTGTCTCTGAGATCCAGGATCAGACAAGAGGAAAACCCAGCAGGAAGCCAGGCTGCCCTGCCCTCCCACCTGCCTGTCCCCATTTTCTTCCTGACCCTGCCTGTTGCAGCTGCTTCTGGGAATCTTAGTCCATCTCCCACCCTGCATGGCTTCCACTAAAGGACTGGCTAAATGAGCTTATCTGATGGAGCATTTTTACCCATCAGCATCCATAGAGACTCTGGGAGAATGAGATGGGTGGGAGGGAGGCATGTTTTATCTTTTTTTATGATGGGTATATATTATATTTGACATTAAATATAAAAACCAAGAATAATGAAGAAACTGAACTATGGGCTACAGGGTCAGAGGTCAGGAGAAGGACCTAGTAGGCACTTTAGAAACTCCCCTGGAAGAACAGAGGTCATTTCCAGAGGCCCTGCAGCTGGAACTTGGGTCTTTGCAACTGACAACTGGGAAGAAAACCTAGACTCAAAAATCTTTTTAGAGGGGGCTGGAGAGTTGGCTCAATGGTTAAGAGCACTGGTTGTTCTTGCAGAATCTCAGCACCAACATGACAGCTAACAACTGTCTGTAACTTCAGTTCCAGGGAATCCGACAGTCTCTTCTGTCCTCCACGGGCATTGCACAACACGGGTGCACTTACCTACACACAGGAAATACATATAGACACATAAAATAAAAGTAATAAATAAAAAATTAAATTAAAAAAAGCATAAAAGGGGCTTAAATGTATGAAAGAACCTGAAGCCAGAGCTGCTTGACAGGCAGGATCAGGAAGTGTGCTAAAGGGAATATGAGCTTCCTAGGCTGGCACACCTGGGGCCCTGTGGGGTTCGTGCAACTTGGGGATGGGTGACCTTGCCAGTTCTGTGAACACAGAACAAATATAGGGGCTAGAAACTAGGAGAAGATCTGCCTGGGAGCCACACACTAAAAAGAACCATGGGGCATCTGGGTCCCTGATCTGAGAGTCATGTGAAATCAGAACTGCCTGACCCAGTGAGAAATAACCATGAGCACTGACAGGTTTGGAGCAGACAGGTGATCAGGCATGTCAGAGGAGAGGTATGTAGGACCCGTGTTAGCTGTTAGAGGACTGAGCAGCATGGGTAAGATGCCACCTGGCATTGGATGGGGACAACTGAACTCATGTCACAGTCAAGAGTAAGAGCTCTGTCCAAAAGAAGGTTGACCATTGGCAGTAATCATAAAAATGAAGATGTTATCCTGACCCAATGCTACCTGCCATATAGAGTGGCCAAAATGGAGGACAAGGGGAACAAAGAACAGCGTTGCTGGGATGCAAATGTAAAACACAGGTGATGTTCTAACAAACAGAAGATGAGCATTCCAAGACTCAACCACTCCCCTTGCCAGAATGCTTCAGATGTGGGTACCTGGGTGCACAGGAGCAGCCATGACCCACAACCCACCCCAACACACACACACACACACACACACACACACACACACACACACACACAAACCCACAGAATCCTGGGAGCCTAGAATGGGAGCATCCCAAGGCAAAGTCCACCATAGCAGCCAGATTTGACCACTGTCTGGAATTCTTTTTTGTTTTAGTGGTTTTGAGACAGAGTCTCATGTATTCCAGGCTGACCTTGAACTGGATGAACTTAAACTCTGTGTCCTCCTGCCTCCACATCCCTAGTGCTGGGATTTCAGGTGTATACCACCATACTTGGTTTATGTAGTGCTGGGGACCAAACCCAGGGTTTTGTGCATGCTAAGCAAACACTGTTGGGGCTACAGCCCCAACTCCCACCATGAGGGATTCTGTACAACAGGAGCCATAATGGCCTAGACTTCATGCAGAAGCATGGTATTTTCTTTTTTTAATATTTTATTATTTTATGTGTATGAGTGTATTGCCTGCATGTATGTAAGTGTACCCATGTTGTGCAATGTCCGCAAGGACAGAAGAGGCCATTGGATCCCCTGGAACTGGAGTTATGGACAGTTGTTAGCTGCCATGTGGGTGCTGGGATTCAAACCTAGGTCTTCTGCAAGAACAACCAGTGTTCTTAACCGCTGAGCCATCTCTCCAGCCCAAAGAAGCATGATATTTTCACAAATATGTTTTATATACCTGTCAGTCAGTCATGGAACTGTTAATCAGGTAAAGAGGGTGTCTTTTGTCATTTCAGAATCAAGATGACAGAGGAATGGTTAAGTGAGGGAGGAGTGTGGGCTGACCATGCTTCATTTCTTGGCTCAGTTATAGAGAGCTGGGCTGTCCTCTACATTGATTTTTTAAGGTATCCATGTTGCTCCCTGTTTCTCAAGCACATGACACCACTCACACAAAAGAGATGAGTTTGTGGGTAGGTGAGATGGCTCGGTGGTAAAGGAGTTTGCTGTGAAGTCTTGGTGACCTGAGTTTGATTCCCAGAACCTACATAAACGTGGAAGGAAACTCCACAAAATGCTTCTCTGTCCTCCACATATGCACACACACACAGTAATAATAATAGGCCGGGCACGGTGGTGCACACCTTTAATCCCAGCACTTGGGAGGCAGAGACAGGCGGATCTCAGTGAGTTCAAGGCCAGCCTGGTCTACATAGTAAGTTCCAGGATACTGTAGCTGGGGCTACAGGGAGACCCTGTCTCAAAAAGACCAAAAACAAAACAATTTGAGACAGGGTCTCCTTGTAGCCCCAGCTGGCCTGGAACTTACTATGTAGACCAGGCTGGCCTTGAACTTACAGAGATCCTCCTGCCTCTGCCTCCCAAGTGCTGGGATTAAAGGTGTGCACCACAATGCCCAACTTTTTTAATAATAATAATCTTATTTTTAAAAATAAATGAGTTTGTGTGGAGAGAAGTCAGTCTTGGGGACAAGGAGATTGTGAGATGGCTTCACCCCACTGCAACATGCCAAGCCTTGTGGGCTGGGACCCCACAGTTCCAGTAACAACAGTGACCTGCCTAGGACTGTTTGTCCCCAGTGACACCCACAATGAGAAACACATCAATGCATACAGCTGCTTTTCATGCACTTTAATGAGCCACAGCAGAGAGTGAGCACCCAGTGAAGCTACTTTAGGCAGAAGGTAAAGGGACAGGCATGGCCAGGGGCTCAGGTGGAACAGAGTGGGGACTTAGAGTGGGGCTCAGATGGAGAGCCAGGGGGACAAGGAAGGCAGGGGTGCCACCTAAGCAGAAAGCAGCACATTAGGAACTACAGGGGGCTAGTTCTCCCTTGTCCCTTAAGGCAGCTCAGGAGTCCTTGGGGACATACCAGTGGATCCAGTCCAAGTAATAGGTGACTCAGGTATAGATGCCAGGTTTGTTGGGCTGTGTACAGCCCTCGCCCCAGCTGACCACACCTGCTTGCAGCCAGGTGCCCTTCACCTTGCAGACCAGCGGCCCCCCGGAATCACCCTGGGGAGGACAGAAATCAGTACTCCATATTGAGGCTGGGTAGGGGTGGGGTGCAGGGAGACAAGGCCCACCTGGCAGGAATCGCTCCTGCTATTTCCAGCACACAGCATGTCATGATGGACAATGTGAACGTTGTCCCCCATGTAGAGGCCAGAGTGATACTTCAAGTCACAGAGACCGTTTTCCACAATGGGGACCTTCACTTGCTTCAGGGGATATGGGAGAGGCTCTGGGGTGAGAGGCAAAGCCTTAGGAGGAAGCTCATCAGTGACCTTCCTTGACCATCCCTTGGCATCCCTGTCCCCCAACACTAGGGTTGTTGTATGACCCAGTCCCCACCCATCTAGCCCTCAGCTGTCCCTGTCACACACCGCCATTATCAATGTCACCCCAGCCTGTCACCCAGCACGTCACCCAGCACAACGTCCCTGAGGGGAAGATCTCTGAGGCAGAGGGCAGGAAGACGGTAGAAATGGTTGGAGACATTCACAGGGTCCTGAAGCTCCAGCAGGACAATGTCCGCCCCACCCTCCACTGTGAAGTAGTTGGGGTGTGCAATGATCCAGCTCACAGGCAGCAGATGGTCCCCATAGTAACAGATGCTGCTCATGAAGTTGCACCCGGAGGAGCTCTGGACTTAGGATGTTCCTGGGAGAGTACAGCCCTGCTTGGAAGGCTCTAGCTTGGGCCTGAACATCACAGCCTCGGGAACACTGGGGATCATGGGAGGGATCCTGAACCCCATCCCACCCTGCAAGACCCAGGGAGACTCACAGTCCCACACAGTGTGCCGCAGTGAGCACCCACTGGGGATGGATGAGGGAGCCTCCACATAAATGTATCCAGAAATTGAAATTGAATCGCAGGCTCACCTGCCAGGGCCACTTATTCTCAGAGGCCTCTCGTCCTCCTATGATGCCCACTTGCTGCAAAGCTGGGCCTAGGGCAGGACAGGGAGCAATCAGCACCTTATCTCACTTCTGCCCTAGGGAAGATAACTCTGGGCTTCTCTGCACCCCACCCCAGTCCATGGACTATGGGAATTAGGGAAGAGGGTCAGGGAAACCCTAAGGCAGGACTCACCAGGGGGCTGTGTGCACCAGGCTGGACAGGAGAGGCAGCACCAGCAGCAGCAGCTTCAGCGTCTGGAAGCAGTGAGGAGGGACAGCATGAACTCAGCTCGGGGGTCAAGGCTGGTCTGGGGTCAGCAGAGTGTAGGGTACAGAATGGACCCAGAGTGTATGGGATAGAGGGAAGGTCCAGCTCAGAAGTGTGGAGTCTCAGGTGTTCCAGGTCACAGGCTTAGCCACTCAGCTTCAGGGTGACATACAGATGTCAGGGGCTCTGGGAGGGAAGTTTACCTTGGCTGTCTCTGATCCTTTCTACCCAGTCTGCTGTCCCCTGACCATTTATCATTCCAGACCAGGGTGGGGTGAGAGGAAGGACATGCTGCCCTCCAACTCAGGCTCTGAGGAAGTGAATGACTCAGATCCAAGGTCCCCATATGACATATGCCCCCACCGCCCAGATACACTCTGGTGACCACAGGTCACAAGGTTGAGTGCACAATCAAACACAGAAACAGCCGCACACCCCCATATGGGGTCTTGATGTTTCAGGCTCTGGAAGACTGAGTTCTGTGATCCAACCAGTCTTTGCTCAGGGTTCACAAGGTCCACTCTGTGTATTTGAGCTTCTGGTGGACTCCACCATGGACAGCACTGCATATTGAGAGTCCTTCTCACTGGGATGGTTGTAGAGATGGGGCTCCTGTCCCCTGCCCAGAGACAAAGAGGATGCCCAAGGAGGCTTGCAGCTCACTGTCACCCTGTAATGACAAACTGACATACTTTAACATGTTTCCCAAGAGGAACACAGACAGGAGACAGTGTCTGTGGGCCACTCAAAAAGGATCAAGGAGGTACAATGGGATAATAGAATCCTCCATCTCAAGTCCTCCAAGTTCTCAGGGTCAGGCACAGCCCTCCTGGGCAGTTTGGGGGAGAGGGTCACATGAGGCCCCTTGTCAGAGTAGGCATCATTCCTGGTAGGGAACAGTACCAAGTGTCCTGGGCACAAGGGGCCCTGCCTCCCTGTCAGACCTAGCTCTGCAGATAAGTCTTGCAGTGTGATCTCCCAGCTTTATCTGTACAGTTCTCCCTGCTAATCTGGGATACCTGCTTATCGCTGGCATCTGAACATCTTCAGCAGAGGGGCAGTGCATGAAAAGGATAGAAATCAAAGAAGAAGCTGCCAGCCTCCCCTTACATACTCCTCTCTAAGCCAGGCCTGTGACTCTTCAGGACTAGGGTTGACCATTGTCGAACCTGTCCGTTCACCCTATCTTCTGGTTCCTCTGGCCTGCACTTCAGGAGTCTCTAGCCTTCTTACCTTGAACTCCAGAACAGCACTAGCCTGACCTCCATTGCCACTCCCTGGATTTTTCTGAGCCCTGCCCTGCCCTCTGAATACACTGGGGACACATTCATCTGGACTCCTTTGGCAGTTCTGAGCAGGCAGAGGCTGTGCTGCTCATTCTCAAACAAGACACCTCACAACTGTCAAGTAGGAAGCTGACAAGACCACAGGAGCCCAGAGGTGGCAGGGTAGAGGGTAAACTAGGAACATACAGGCAGTTCCAGCCCTGCTGGGCCCAGAGGGGCCAGGACATACAGGCACCACTGAATCAGGAGTTCTGGATCCTGGTGCTCCAAGGAATGTTCTGATTGGCTCAGGCTGGAGAGATGGGCCAAGCATCTCTCTAGCACCTCCTCAATTAGAAAAAAATATTTCTGGGGCTAGAGAGATGGCTCAGCAGTTAAAAACACTGACTACTCTTGCAAAGGACCCGGGTTTGATTCCCAGCACCCACATGGCAGCTAACAACTGTTCATTCCAGGGGATCCGATGCCCTCTTCTGACTTCTGTGGGCATTACACAGCATGTGGTATACTTACATGCATTCAGGCAAAACACTCATACACATAAAATAAAAATAAATTTTAAAAAATTGAAACTTGAGGAATGAAGCCAGTGAGATAGCTCCATGGTACCTTTACCTACCCAACCTGATGACCTGAATCGGTTACCCACATGCAGAAGGAGAAAGCCAACTCTTCACAGGTTGTCCTTGGACCTCTATATGTGGGCTGTGGTACACACATGCACACACGCACGCACGCACACACAGAGTAAATACACCAAAAGTAATAAAATAAAATAAAATTTTTAAATGAACTAAAAATTTTAAGGTTTATCTATTTTTATTTTATGTAAATGAGTGTTTGCCTGCAGGTATGTATGTGTACCATGTTCATGCAGTGCCCACAGAGGCCAGAGAGTGTTGTAATCCTCTCCTATAGGTTTATCCAAGTATGCTTCCTCTGTGGGCTACTGGTATACATTGCTGTCCTGCTCCTCCACCTAGCAGAGTTGAGGGCAAAGTTCTCACCCTGGGCCTGTTTAAGGTAACAGTAGCCCTGGCTCCACCCTCATATCAGTCTCCTGGAAGTCTTGCCTCCTCTTCCCATAGGAAAACTCAGGTTGAGAGAGTTCAATTACCTGCCAAGGTCTCATGCAGGAGGGTCTGCCCATCCTGGTTCATCTGCCTCTGTCTACTTCCAAGGTATTGTCATCACACAAAGGAGACCTTAGACCTTTAAACAGTCACTCCTCATTTTTCCTCTCAGTCACTGTAACTACCTCCTGCTTCTTGACTCTATGGATTACTGATTTTAAACTCAAGAGACTGAGGCAAAAGAATCATGAGTTCAGGGCTATCCTATGCTACAGGATAAGTTCTAGACTGGGACAGAGTTATATAGCAAGACCATGTCTCAAACCAAAGATGCAGTGTTTGGCCTCCATGCCAGCACTTGATCATCAGCAGCCTCTACCCTCAAGTATGTGTTAAATGTCTGACTATGCATAATTGAGGAACAGATAAGCCACACCACTGTACCCAGGGCCCGAGCTACACACTGTGACAAGCAGAGCCCTTCCTCCCTTAGATAGCCTCTCACCAGGAGGGTATACCTCAGAAAGTATGGAATCTGCCCTAGCAGATGAGCACAAGGTACTCAGACTGGGAGCCCAAGTCCCTAGCCCAGGCTACCCCTTTCTGGGAATCACAAATCTGATGTTATGGCAGTAGGGGAGTCAGGAACTCAGGGAAACTGGATCCTCTGAGTCCTGATCTCCAGGGCTATCCCTAGGTGCCCACAGATGGAGGAATTAAGGGTCCTTACCTGCCCCAGCACAACTGGCCTCTAGCACCAAAGACCCTAGCTCCTCGTCTTCATCCTGTAATCTGGATGGGAGGCAGAAAGGTGACTCCTGCAAGACTTCTTCCATCATAGACAGTGCTGGCTAATGTCTCCAGCAGCGTCCTGTGGATAACAAATGGATAAGGCAAAGCTACAACCCCTGTCTAATCACAAGAAGCCCTTGGCCCAACCCAGATGAGGCACATTACAACAGCATCTGACTCTGACCAGCAGTCTTCAAGAAAGAGCTTTTTTTTTTTTTTGGTCTTTTTGAGACAGGGTCTCCCTGTAACCCCAGCTGTCCTGGAACTCACTATGTAGACCAGGCTGGCCTTGAACTCACAAGAGAGCCGCCTGCCTCTGCCTCCCAAGTGCTGGGATCAAAGGCCTGAGCCACCATGACCAGCTAGAAAGAGCATTTTTAAAACTCCATTTCCCCTCCACCAGTTACTAGGTATTTACACCAAATTTACACAAAAGTGCCCCAATGGCTAGTCTGATAGCGTCTCTAGAGGGGACAGTAGTGTGGGGAAAGGCATGCATAGCAAAAAAAAAAAAAAAGATGTGACTTGTTATCATGGCTCCCATTGTGATGCCGTCTCACAGTGGTGAAAGATGGCCACATTAGATGTGTCCTCCAGACCCCAGGCTTGTTGTGTAGATAAACTCACAGGAAACAGGTCACATCATGTCTAGGCCTTGCTTTCCTGCACTGCTTTGTATTTTCAGTCTCTCCTGTGATTGTTAATCTCTCCTTCCTTCTACAAGGGCTGAGTTCATCTGCTCTTCTGGTGTCTGAGGCTCTGTCTGAGTTCCTGGTGTCCATGTAAATGTGTATAGTTTTTATTTCCCTCTCAACTCAGCTTTGGCAACACCATGTGTTTTAGTGTGCTGTGTTTTCATTTTCAAACATCTCTGTTATTTCCTAGCTTCTCTTGTGATTTCTTCCTTGGCCTATTAGTTAAGACTGGGTTGTTCAATGTCCAGAATCTTAATTTGCCCCCAGTGGTCCATTAGTCATTACTAGTTTCAACCCAATGTGCTCAAAGAGGACACTTTATACATAATCCTAGAAGCCCCTTCACAGGACCCCCTCCTCCATATCATAGTAGTATGTGGGCCACCCCACTCCCACCAGCCCTGCTCCCTGCAGGTGGCTGGCTCTGGAAGGCTAAGGCTATCTGGGAATCACCTGGCACCTTCATTGAGGCTCTGACAGTTTCCTTGCCCTTGTCCTCTGAGATTCTGCCTCAGGCTAGTGGCCTATAGCACCCACAAAACCAGAACTTCAGTGTTCTGACCTGGAGCGAGTAACCCAGTGCCTGGGCTCACCCTGCCTGCCTGTCTAGAGCTAAATAAGCACAGAAGTCTCATACAGACTGGAGCCCATCTCCTGGGTCTTAGAGGGCCCCAGCCAGATCTTCCTAGGAGCCACCTGGGTTCCAGGGAAACTCCCATAATGTTCATTCTCTCACTCATTCATTCACTCTAAAGTTTTCAGAAAACTAGGAATCTACAGTGAGGTCAAAGAGGTCACTGCCTTGGAACCACTGGTGGATACCCCCAACAGCATGTCTTCTAAAGTCATGGATCCTTTTACTAAGGGTAACTCCATCTCAAAACCTCTGCAACTTGAACCCCAAAATGACTGCTGAATATATTTTGTACTTCTATTAGCTAGATTGAATTTGTTACCTTTCTCTGGTACACTGTGGAGTTTTGATGTTATCAGTTTTGTTACTGATCATATATGAGGAACTTTAATTCTGTTACTGAATATCAAGAGTTAAAATATTGTATTGTAGACTAAGAAAGTCACCTTGAGAGCCTGTTCCACAGGACCTATTAGGTTCATTAGCTCCTTTCCATTGAG